TTTTATGAAAGCTCCCTATCAAACTTCCCCAATTTTGGGGGTTCTTTTTCCTCTTATCACTTGTGCATCATTTTACTACTTTAAATCCCCCCTTAACCCTTCCCCCCCAAATAAGCCCCCCCCCATTCAAGGGAAGAAAGTTAATAGCCCCCCCCCCCCCTCCCATCTCTCTTTTAAGCCCTGCCTTCTCCTCCCCCTTTTTATTCTTTACTAGTAATGAATGATATACTGTGTTAATCAAACACTTCATTGGGACTGATCATGAATAATTTATTGAGGTGTTGGAAGTTCAGATTTGTTTCTGATCATCGACTTAATAAAATTCAATTTCTTGTACTTGAGCTTTTCCACTTCGCATTGTAGTTTTTATGGAGAACTGATACCACCATCGTCGCTAAATCAGATAAGCCCCACCCCTCTAAATAAGCCCCCGTCTCTATTAAGCTCCCCATCAATCGTGTGGGGGTTAACAGACGATTTACGGTATATAAAGAAAACGGTAACCGGTTAGTTTGCAAGAAACAACAAAGATAATTCGACGAGATTTGTCACTAAAGAGACTTATTATCATTTTTATTTAGACCAATTACGGGTTGAGCTCGTAGTATCTTTATTTTTTTCCTAATACTAATGGGCATATTTATTATAGAGATATAATGGACTTGCCGGAACACTTTGCCATCACGCTCAGAGTAATAAGAACTTATACATTCTTCATGTACTTCATATAGGTTAAAAGATATCAAATCACTAACAAACAAAAGTGCCAAACGTACGTTCGAGCTTATCCATTTAACAAAAATTCATTGTTTAGTTGGTCGGATAATATTCTAATAGACGACATCTACATGCCTCTCAGAAAAAGAAAAAAAGAGGCCAAGGTATTTTGTTAGGTGCTGAAAATTAGAACTTAGAGTCAGTTCTTAGTTGATGAACTATGCTATCCTTAAAGTCCCCCGGCAATCCTGTCTTGTCTAAATGATCTAGCTTATTCGAGGCTGTAATGGAGGAGTCTCGTAATCTCGACTCTCCAAAGGAGAAGCGAAAACTTGATGTCAAATCGCATTCTCTTTCTCATATTGAATACAATGCTATACTGGACATACAGCACAGGAAGGGCAACACGATACACGTATTGACATTTAAGGCTAACGAGGGAGGTTAGGCTGATAGAGCTCTGCTAATTGGCTATTGTGCTCTTTCTTTGTTCCGTTATTTTTCTTTTCACTTAATTATCTTCAGTCACCAAGAAATAACTGCCATATTGGCAGCAATGACATCAGCAACCCACACAGCCGCATCCCAGCATGCACTGCTGAAGACTTTGAAGACTTCTTTGAACAAGGTACTGGACAATCTCCCAAGGATATTGGTTCTACTTTCTTCTCATCATCAGAAGATTTGCCTGACGATATAAATATTTTTAAAGATTTGGGATAAGAATCCACAAAAAATGAACAACTACTGATTTTTGAGATTAAGGCATGTTTCGATCGATCTCGATCACTGATCAGTTCAGTTACAAGTGAGACACTCTTATGAGGCGATGGGCGCCTGCTACGCAGACTAAGCTAGGAGAGGTATATCTAAATCTAACGTTGTCCTGAATAAGCGCGAGATAACGAATATTACACACATTCGGGAAAAACTTAAAATTGTCAATTTGTTTAAAGGTAAAATATGGAACAAAAATGAAGAAAATAAGTAATGATAACGATCACGATATTGATGAGGAAGATGATGATGATGATGATGATGATGATGATGATGATGATGATGATGATGATGATGATGATGATAGGAAAAGTAAAGTCCGGTTAAAACAAAAGAGCAAGCTCAGATTATTAAGTTGCATGTTCAATGTTGAATTCTCCCTCCTAATATATGAGAAATTGATATCTGTTGCTTGGAAAGACGAAAGTGTCGGTTGTCCACATTAACGACTATAGGTATTAAAGGGATTGAATTGAGAGAGAAAATGGCTTTCGCCGTGCAGGAACAAAGAAAACTGTCCGTAATTATGGTGAGTGTCCCTACAGCGGGGTTAGAGTGACATAAAATTTATTTTCACTCAAAGGGCTACACTACAATTACACTAAATCGCATTCAAGTTAAAGGAAAAAGTAAAGGGAGGTCATGTCTTCATGTATACTTACCATTCCCGTCGACATCCTCGTAGTCATAACCGAACTCGAAAGACTTCTTAAACATCTGTTGATGAGTATACACAGGATAAAGTGGTACAATGACGTCATCTTTGTTGTGTCCGATGGGTGCATCGTAACTTGAAAGAACCGAAGCGTCCTTGTTGAACTTGCGAAGCCATTTCTCATAAATACGATCCACAAAGGAATGATGAAGGGGAAAGATAGGGTCGTTTGACGCTGAAGGTACATCCCCCATGACCCCACCCAAGACTATGTGAACCTGGTTATGTAAGGTGTGGACATTTTGAAAACGATAACCGGTCTTTGTACTGGCGTAGCCTTCCAGGATGTTTCTAAAATTGCAGCTTGACTCTTTGCCATAGGGTGGCAGGTCAAAACTTTCAAACCGGAGTGCAAAATTGACTTCTTCTGTTGTCGGAAATGTCATTGTATATCCCTCATTTCTTACTTTGTCTTTCTTTTCCTTCTCAGTTCTCCGTTTTAAACCAGGTTCCTTGTTCGTTGGGTCACAAATCTTTGTCAGGGAATAAGTCTGTTCACTGGTGCAAATAACGTACCAGTTGTCAAAGTATTTGCCATTCACAGTGCCATCAGCTTGGTTTGTCACACCAAGAAGCTCCTCAGAACAAATAGCGGGATCACAATGTGTTTTATTTCCAGTCCAGTCCCAATAAGGAACAGTAAAGTTTTCATCGTTACCAATTTCCTGCAAGGTTCTCTCCCAAGCCAACATATACAGTCGATGCCAGGTGGGAAACCCCTGCCCGTCATGCGCAAAGTCAATATCTGCCCGTGTCATGTTATGTGGTTTTATGGTGTCTCGTGCAGCATAGTAGTGCATCCACACGAACAAGTCATAGTTGCTGATGTTGTGAAAGAATGCTGTTGGGTCGCGGTTGGCCATGACGGTTTCGTTGATCTCTTCGTATGGAGTTAAAGTCACCACATAATCGCTTATGTAGTACCTGGACATGTTGATGTACCTCATGTATCGATCTTTCTCCTCGGCTGACAACGTGAGAAAATTTTTGCGTGTCAAGGTTTTTTTCTGCGTGCAGTTTTTGCCATAGTAGCCAAACTCGCACTTGCTGCAGTCATATCCAGCAAAGTTTGAATTGCATTTGCACGTTTTGTGGTAAAGAGCATGAGGCCAGTCATGGCGATCGTCTTTTTTCTGGAATGTTTGGTAATGACTGTATTTGAAAGTCCAATCACGAATAATCAATTCCTGGCATGTACCTCTGTTTCCATCATTACCGCATGGCGCACTAAAGCCCTTTGGGATTGGACAACATTTCTTGTTTTTCAGACTCGTCAGGGATGTACAAACTCTAGGGAACTGGCCTTCAGCACAGGGAAAGATGAAGACAAAAAAGACAAGACATGTGATGATACGGCAGCTCATCTTACTCGCGTTTTCCTGAATGAAGAAAAATAATTGTTCATTAACGATACTCAAGCAGACTCGTACCCAGCCGCTAATTATGTGTTTTTGGGGTGAGAGAAGATTGGGGGTTAGGTTGAGGTGCGCGGACTTTCATCGGAAGATACGATATAAGCAAAAATTCTGCCAAATTTGGTCATCAGTAGCTGGTTATGGTGAATTATGCGTGTGCTTTCAGCCAATCAGAATCGGGGAAACATTCTGATTGAATTATAATACCAGTTAATTTATTCCGAACACAAGTGCTACAGTTTTTTTTAGCTATAATGCACTCTTTTTCAAAGCTCAGTACAGTGATCTATTTCCTCCAAATAATATTGTACCGTATAAAAACCAAGGTGTCATATTTTACGTTATTCAGTGCATTCGGATTCGCGATAGTTTGCAGTCGGTACAATGACGAAGATACGAGGATATATTTGCAACTTGTGGCAAGCCCTAACTGCTTCGCGTGTGAATTCACGGTTCATTTACAGAGATATGAATCTGAAATCTACAACTACCAACGGATTCAACTTTCAAATAATAAATTCGTTAATGGAATCTTGGAGGCAAAGCCCCCTGCTCACTACAGTGATCTCTTTCCTCCAAATAATATTGTACAGTATAAAAACCAAGGAGTCATATTTTGTGTTATTCAGTGCATTCAGCTTCGCGATAGTTTGCAGTCGGTACAGTGACGAAGAGACGAGGATATATTAAGAAAAATAAATCAATCCAAGTAGAGCAACTACTATTCAAACAACCTTTATGTTCAGAAATCATTGCTGAAGTTGAACTAATACAATTAAATAATTTTCTGAACGAATTAAACGGAAACCTATTAAGTTTGTTCTGTTTGTTCTATAAATAGACCGCCGTTGGCTTTAATTTTGTAAGATTATTAAACAAAGCATAAAACAAAGCATCTCAAAAATATCACGATTAACTTTATTAATTTTTGCGGAGCTAAAACATCTCATACCAACTTCAATGTAAATTACGGCTAAAGCAACTTCAGAGAGAATATTTGAAAGCTAGATATGAAATTCGAGGAAAATAAAGAATTCATGAGAAATCTCTCCTTACAGTTTTAAACAATTCATGGACCTCGAGGGTTTCGTATAAAAGTCAGTTATTGTTGAAAGTAATAAGCTCATTAATAAATAAACGTTTACACATGCTGCATGCTGTTCACGACTGTTTTCTCAAAGAGTACGTATTAAACTCTTAGATACATAACTTCAAGCTCTAGCGTTTATGGCATTCGAGGACCGTTTTTTGCAACTGAGGCATTCGCTTTTGGCTGAACGAAGTCCAATTGTCAGGCTGCGATAGCTGTTTCACACTCCTGTCGCTCGCATCTTCTCCATATCAAGTTATATCGGAAACAAATGTGCACAATTCGTCCAAATATACAACAATGGTCCACGCTTTATTATTTCGACGTCCTTTTAACAATTCCAAATCCATTTCTTGCAGACGATATTGTCAGTGTTCTTTAGAATGTTTCCATTTATTCAAACCCATCTTTGGCTGGCTACTCTATGATGTATCGGGAAAAATGTACGCCTTACAAGTACCCTCTAGAATATGCCAAACATAGTATGCGTGAAAGGAACTCGGAAAAAAATAATACTAAGTCAGGGAGGTAAGAGTAAAATGTTTAATCTGACTTTCATGAATAAATTAACGAGAATCGAGTGAGTGAGTGAGTGAGTGAGTGAGTGAGTGATCGAGTGCCATTCGAGTGCCTCCAAAAGCCCACGGCATGACTACGTCACCATGAAAAAGGCTACGTATTTTGCATACGCTGGAGATTGGTTAGACTGTTTCAAAACAGCTTTCAGTTTAGTTTGCAAAGATCAGTCAGTATTGCTTTTAACTTTGTTCAGAAATTGTACAAGGCAAATTTTTTCTGTTTTGATGAAAAACTGCCAATGAGAAAGCAATGAAACACGTTCGGCAAAAACACTTCCGCTTTTGCCGACTAGCAGTATGCCCGCCGAGTCTTGCCAAAACACAACAAACAACAACCATCAAAAGAACGAATAGATCGAACCTTAGAAAAATAAGAATCGAAGGGAAAGCACTGTCAATGCACTTACAAAACTGGGTACGTAATTACATTCATAACCGTCATAATCGGTCTTGCCGAGAATTGATTTCTGTCTATGCAGATCATTGTCTTACAACACTTCCGCTTTTACCGACTAGCAATGTGCCCGCCGAGTCTTGCCAAAACATAACAAACGACAACCATCAAAAGAACGAATAGATCGAACCTTAGAAAAATAAGAATTGAGCGGAAAGCACTGTCAAGTTTACAAAACTGCGTGAGTATTTAGATTCATAACCGTCATAATCGTTCTTGCCGAGAACTGCTTCCTGTCTATGCCGATCGTTGTCTTGCAAACATTTTTGCACCACGTCAGGCTACACGTGATTCTTGTCATTGAAGTATAACTGTTATCGAATTTGCAAAAAAATCCTAACGTGTAAAGCTCTTTTTCCGTGATTTCCCATACTCTTGAAGACCTTGAAGAGAGGCAATTTCGCCTTTATGATTCCAAGAGCCTAAACATAGCAGCATACTTCTTTCTAAATAACACTTGATCCCCTTCGTCAAATCTAAAACCACACGGCATTCTTTTGAACAAACAATGTAAAAATTTACCTCTGTCTCTTTTAACTGCACTGTGGTTGGATTGAAGCTTCTTTACGCTCCTCGATCTAGGTCCACCTCAAACTGAATTCCCTGATTTAACTTTAAGCGCTGAGATATAAGAAAGTCAGACCTTACTCAGACCCTTCAAATTCCAAGAAGTGCATTGCGACTGACAAAGCGTGATGTGTTTAGCAGCTGTGCCAGGCGGTGTGCGTCACGACCCATGAAGGTTCATGGATAAAACTGTTACTGTGCCTCATTTCAATCGTGACGTGGTCGAGTTCGCATCTTGTAAGAGAAATGAATCAAACCCAGGGATCAAAACACTGCTGCCTTTTCCGAAAACATTACGGACGAGAGCGATTTCGAGAATTTTCAAGATCTCATAGTGGCCTTAGATGCTTGCTATTGGCTTCACTAGACAATTTCAAGAAGTTTATCGCGATTCGGAAGCGATCGTGCGATCCAGCCGACTTTGAGCGGCGACTAATTTCCTGCTTCTCATAAGATTTTATGTACTGTTTGGTTTATATGTATGTTTTTGTCTCATAGTGAAAGAGATCTGTAGTTCATACCTGGATTTGCTTAACTAAAAAAATTCGTCCATTAGTAGTGTTTATATATCTGGTGGACTTTGTTACCGGCAAAGCAGGGGGAGCGCGTGCAAACGGCAAGGTGCGAATCGTCTCTCATAACAATTTTATTTTCATCGACAAGTTTATATTATTTTGAAAACAGTGCCCGTTTGAAAGCCTTATGTGCAAATAAATCTTCTATCAGGCAAGGGGAAAACAGACCGAAAGAGCCGAACAGCTGCAGCACAATCGGAATTTCACCGAAGCTACAGTCGCAGAAATAAACAGTGAAATAAACCACGATCTTGTCTGTGGGTTCATTGAAGTGAGCGCAGTATATCGATTTTGTTATAAAGTAAAACCTAACCTCACAGTTTTAAAATCCTGTATGATGCTGTCTGGATCTTCGATAAGGGTTTTGTGTTTTGGTAGAGATTAACAAGAGTAACAAGATGGCTAAAATAATTCGATAAAACCGCTAACGGTAACCAGCAATAAATCCAAGAAGAACGGCAAAAACTTGGCTGTCGTTACCATTAGCTTGGATTGACGGGAGGTACAGTACAAGTACACACTGCACTAACATGCTTATATCGTTTACTTGGTTCTGTCAGTAAAAACTCTTTGCAATCTTCAGTACTCCTCGTTTTTGTCGACACATGCTCTCTCCACATCAAGCTAAACCAAGTGAAATTCATTTGAAAAAACTCAAGTTAAGGTGGCTCGACTGGATTTTTTGGGGTTGATACCTCCCAACTTTGAGCATTAACTACGTCGGCATGAGTAAAGATATGGAAAAAATGTTACCACAACTGTATTATATAAAGATGAAAATTTCTTATGATCTGGGTTTTATTGCAATCGGAGTCGCCATGGCAACGTAGTGACGCCATTACGTTTTTCATTTTTCTTTCTGTTTCTCTGTTCCAGGAGTTTTTTGAAGAAATCGCTTTAGGAAGTATGTACCTGCTATAATTGCCTCCATTATGGCGTAGTTTAAACAAATTCTATGAGAGCGTTTTCGAAATATTTTGAAATGTAGTTTTAAGAATAATAAAAAGAGTGAAATAGCATGCTACCTACACAATTCGCTAATATTTTAAGAAAATGATAAGCTTTGGAAACGAGGCTTCATCTCGTAGTGGTTTGATTCCATTGAAAACTGCATACAAAAAAAGAGGGGAATTGCTCTGGGCGATCGCGAGTAAGAAGAATTTTATTAACTTGCATTCAGCTGCTTTTGATACAGTTTTTGGACGTAATTTGGTCCATGCCTAAAAATTTCGCATTTTTCCAAAAACCGCTCGATAAATTTTTTTATAAATTCGACAATCCCGAGATCAATTGTCAAGAAATATTCCCTGCAAGTTTCAAGAACATTGAAAATAGGGAAGGCTTTTAAATAGGGCCTCAAATATAACCAATATTCCCCCCAGATCTTGTGTTTACAAGTGAGCGCCCTCATTATTCACTGGCATTGTTTTCAAGTTTCATATGCACGTGCACAACTAGCAAAAGTTATAAATTTGCATAAAAAAGAACTCTCGATTACTTTCCGAAGAAATATCTGGAGTATGCTAATAATTGGCTTGTCGTCACAGACAGCAGTGAGAGCCGAAACGGTGAAGGTCACGGCTCATCGTGTAGGATGGAATACTTAATTATCTTACTCGGGTTATAACATCACAGAAACTCTCACAAAGAGTTGCTCTGATGTTATAATATATCATTAATCTCTTTACCCGGTAATTAGCATATCCCGGAGATTTAACCGAGGGTCCTTTTTGATGTAAATTCTATCTTTTTGCTAAATGTGCACGTGTATATGAAACTTGAAAACAATGCCAGTGAATAATGAGGACGCTCACTTGTAAACACAAAATCTGGGGAAAAAATTGGCTATATTTGAGGCCCTATTTAAAAGCCGTCCCTGTTTTCAATGTTCTTGAAACTTGCAGGGAATATTCCTTGACAATTGATCTCGGGATTGTCGAATTTATAAAAAAATTTATCGAGCGGTTTTTGGAAAAATGCGAAATTTAAAATGTACCATGGGGGGTGCGCCTTTACTGTAATGGGTAATGAACAGTGAATATTTCACAAGAACTTCTCTGTATTTGGTCAGATTGAAAATCTTTGAATGGATATAATTCCTTAGAAGACATTTACATCAAATTCAGGGAAACTGAGCTGGTAGAAATTTCGAAAAAAATTGCGTGTGAATTCACGACTCATTACGCATGCAAGAATGCATAGACGAATCTAAAATCTACAACTACAAACGGATTCAACCTTCGATTAACAAGACACTATGGAGCGTAAACATCGGCGTCGTACAGTGGCGGATTAATTGTGAATGTGGAGGAATAGTTAGGGTAAGAAATGATATTTTTTCGGATACCATTCCATACAAATACCCTTACTTTTCTCCTTTTTTGAATAAACATGTTGTTGTTGTGTTACAGACGTCTTAACTTCTTTACCGGAAGCCCGCTAGATGCGTGACCCTGTGGCTGTAATCCAATTCGGTTATAATTTCTGTCATAAATAAATTGCGCACGACGTTTCAATCAGTTTCCCGTAAGTTCAAAATAACTACTCGTCGCACGCCGACTGCTCGGAGTTCAGAAGCAAAACATTTACCTGCTGCTCGCCTAAATTAAAAAAAAAAAAAAATAAACCTACAAATCAACCATCTTTTACTTTTATGCTACAGGCTCGTCTCCGCGATCTAACGGGGCAAATATAAGTAACTACAAACCGTAGAGGGAGCAAAATATTATATTTCTCTCTTCCTCAAAGTAAACTAAACAACTCGAGCTGATATCGAGATATCTCAAACAACTTCCGACATCACTTCGGAAACAAGATGCAAGTTTAGGTATTACATTGCGCTCCGCCTCAAATATTTGTTGTAGCCGGAAGAACTAGACGTGATCCCGCGATATGTCCCATCAGAAGCATGCTCCTGCTCCAACTCATTCCAATGTCGCTACGTCGAATACACAAAACAAGCCGCCAAGAAACAAACTTGCGTACCGAATCTTTAACCGTGCCTCGTGCATAACTTATGGCTATTTTCACCTCTCAAATTACCTTACGTCGTAGTGGCGCAATCGGCTTATCCCTCAATTAGAGTCTCATCTGATCTGCGGGTCACATATGTCGGTTCAAACCCTGGGCAAGCCAGAAATAATACTTATTTCTTCTTTATTTCTTTCAAAAGTAATAATTAATTCTGCCTCATAATTATTTCTTTCCCTTGAACAGAGGCGTAGCCAGGATATTTTCAGAGGTACGCAAAATTATCCAAATTGATTTGCCCCCGATCACTCTACCCCCCACCACTCCCAACAACATCATCACAAACAACTATATTATCTTATAACTCTTACAAAACAATTGACTTACCACGTTGCGTGGAATTATCATACTTAATTCACTAACTACAAGGTTTACAGCCCGAGCGAACCAAAAAATATTCTTTTTTTTTTTTTTTTTTTTTTCAAAAGAAAAAATTATTTTGCCCTCTTAATTTTTTTTTTCCCCGCAACGGGGGGGGTGCCGGGATTTTTTTCGGGGAACCAAAAAATTCCACAATTGTTTTTCCCCCCTCCCCCCCCCCCCCCCCCCCCACAAAAAAAAGAAATTAATTACGCTTTAGCCTTAGAGATTTTTTCTACATATGAAATGACGGTAGCAACTTGTAAAATACTTTGTCATTGACTGATGCACGTCAATCATCTATAATACAATAAGGCTACATACAGTTTTTCCGGATTCGTCAGGAATCCGGATAACTTTGTTATTGGGTTGGTTTTGTCGTTTTTAAGAAAATGCGGCGCGTGAATCCGAATTGAAAAGTTGCCGATTTGGTCAAGTCTCTATAGATTTTGAATTCGAAATCTAAAGTGAATCCGATGCCTTGTAAATTTTGCAATGTTTTGTAGGTTAATCAATTTGTTCAAAAAATCCGGATAATGTATACTTTTCCAAGTTTGCAGAGAACCAAAATGGAACTGTCACATTCATGAATATATATAGGGCGCCTTAGCAACGACGACGGCGAGAGCAACAAATACGTCTCTAGCTATTAAAATGAATGTACCTTTTTTAAAAGACTTTTTGGCGTTTATTTCAATTCTCTTAACATGGGACCGCACCCAATTACAAGTTCGTACTCAGAGAAGAAATTGAATGTGTCCCTGTGTTAACGTCCTCCAAACGACGTCGCAAAAGGAAATTTAACGTCGAGTTCGTACAAGGTGTAAGGAAAAGCGCGCTGCACGTGCAAAATTTGTTGTTTTTCATTTACTTATTGGGCTCGTTTCGTTTGACGTTCTCTTTGCCGTTGCTCCCAGGATTTATCGATGTTCCGTAAACGGACTAAACGGTTAGGAATCCGAACACGTTTTTGGTAAAAACGTCGCTATCATTTCACTAGATAGATATGTCATTCAAGATTTGGTCCATTAAAATTATCTCTTTTCCCTGGAAACCGTCATTTGGGTGTAGAGGAAAACAAAAGTCTGTTTTAGAAAAAAATACTTTTCAAAGAAACAACCAGGGTTGAATGAATTGAGGCAAACTGTGCTCTTAAAATAATTATCTTGTAAATCTTTTGCTTCCTTTTCGGAATTAACTTTTATTTTTTATCATTTATTCATTTTAGGTCTTTTTTGTGCACGACTTCATTAATCAAATTCATTAATGGCATCTTGGAGAAGGAGGAGGGGTGGCGGGGGGCGGTACGCTTGACCTGGCTTGACTGTAATTCTTAATTGAGAACATGACAAATGAACGTCTTAGCCGTCTGGAAGAGAGAAAACCATGTAAGGATGTATACAAAACATAGCCCCACGGAAGGAAATCGGCTCCTGCCTCCGGTCCGTGGACCGCCCCAGTGGACCTATTCCATAGACCCCTTTGTGGACCCGGTCCATGGACTACACCTGTGGACCGTCCCTAATTTTTGAAGATGAATTTTTCAAGAGGTCAGAAATGGATTTTAGGAACCTTAACTAGGCAAAACTGCTGTCATTTTATATCAACAGGGTTATGGGATCCTCATATTATACACCTGTTCAAATTTCCCTTGATCGAATTCCATCTACTCTAGTGAATGAGTAGCAAAATGTATTGTAGGGAGGAATTAGCCACGCCGAGCAGACGTTTTTTGGGGGGGTATCGTGTTGAATACCCTTCCTAGACTTCCCTTCCCTACTAGCCCATAGAATCGTTTATTCATTGGCAAACTTATTGAATCCTGCTCACGTATCAAGCACAAAATGACCTGCATATAACTATTGTGTCCGCAAAGCTTGTCAGACGTTTGGCCAACCACATTGTTTTAAAATTTGCAGGTCATTTTGCGCTTGATCAGTAAGCAGGATTCAATAAGTTTGCTGACAAATAATTGTTTCTGTGGGCTATCAAGGGAAGGATAGTCTGGGGAGGGTACTGAATCATCATGCGTTCCTCTCTAGTCTCTGCCGGTCGTCTGTGTGTTCAATTCGACTCTTCGACATTGTCACGACTCAAAGATCCGACATCGAGATAGGTCTTACTCCTCTTTGCAGTCTTTAATAAGCTCACTATGGTCTGCTTAGTTTCGATGAATCTTGCTACGAAAGGAAGTTATCTGTACTACAGAGCATTGGCGACCTAGACATAAGGTAAGAAGTTGTGATGTTTTAACTTTGTTTATACCGGTTGTTTCGATACAAAGTCGTTTTAGTACAATTTATTCAGTGGGTCGAGTTGTAAATAGTTCCACCCCGTTGTGATTATCGGTTTTCAGGTGCTTCCTAGACATTTCCCACCTGAAAAATCAGGATAGCCAGCTTTTACTTAGTTGGTATTTATACTGACTGTTCCTCTGCTCCTGATGTGGTTGTGGTCAGTTCAGGTCCCTTTAGCTGTCTGCATTCATTATGGCTAATTATTATCGCTCTTGCACAAATCCTTGACGGAAAAGATAATTGTGACCAGGAGCCCATAACCCGGAGCGAGAAACTTCTATGCCCTCGTGTCACGGAGTTTTTAAGGACCAGTTTGTTTTTTGTACGGTTTTGGCGCGAATTTTGAATGTCTTTTCAACTCCACAAACCAGTCCGCAAATTAAACGTACAGACCTTAAAATGATATTTTTTGCCTTTTAATAACATTTAGTTTTTCATTTTGATATCTTATACTTTGAATGCGTTCATAAACATGGTGGAGATTCTATCTTCGCGCCCTAAAATGTTTCTAAAAATAAACTGGTCCGTAAAACCACCGTGTAATAGCCCTAGTCCTAAACAGGAGTAGGATTCTGAGGATTAGGAAAGTGGCCACAGTTGAGAATGAATCGGCGATCCTCCCCAAAGCGTTCGTGGAGATGGCGCTTGGTTTCCCCCATCATCCCAACTTTCCTACCCAGAGCATCCCAGCTGTCCTGCTCAGCACACCAAGTGTCCTACCCAGCATCCCATCTGTCCCAGCCAACATCCCTACTGTCCTACCCAGCATCCCTACTGTCCTAGCCAACATCCCTTCTGTCCAACCCAGCGTCCTAACTATCCTGCTCAGCATTCCAACTGTCCCACCTGGTACCCTGACTGTCATACCCAGACATGTAACTGTCCAGCTCTGGCATCCCAAATTGAGACCTTTACTTTAGCTTCTAGAAGGGGGACGAGATTTGCCCAAGAGTTTTCTTTTAACGTATTCTATAAAAAAGGGAACCCTAGAAAGTTTCATTTTACATTTTTCCACCAGAAAAATGAACACAGTTGTTTTCAGTGAAGGAGGTTTTAAAAGTTGGCTCCTCATCGATAAAACCTCTAACATTTGATAGCTTAATTGTTTCCACCACAACAGCATTCTTGTTTAAACTCACACTAGCCACTCTATCACATTTTCCTGCCAAAATGATGCTGCAATCCTGGACAAAACTACTTGAGAAAATGTTTTCATTAATGCGCACTACCTAACGCAACAAAGCTATTTCCAAATCAACGGCTTTGCGTAAAGAAAACCCCTTCCCCCAGTTCAAAGTTACTTCCTACAAATGCTTAGGGATCCGGCTTTCTTTGAAGACCCAACAACACTGCTTCCAGGGGGAGGGGGGAGGGAAGAATCGGTCGGCTACGAAGTTTAGAAAAAATGCCCCCCAAGAATGCAATTTTCTCAACAGTTTTGTCCAAGATTGTGGTTCACGAGCGTACATTACGTAGTTTGGGAAATCTAGTTCTCGTAGTCGTCCTTGTCTTAGAATCTTAAGGTCTCTACTGTCATGCTAATGGATCCCAACTGAACTGTTCCACTTGGGACCCTAACTGTTCTACCTGGCATCCTAACTATTTCTGCTAGCAGGGAAGGTGGGGGCAAGTTTGTGACCCCCCCACCACCACCCCCACCACCCCCACCATACAGACGACTGTAGAATTATACGACTTTGTAGAGCTATGTCTTCGTTAGTTTTCAACAAATCACTTTCAAACTTGGCAATTTTATTTCATTTAAAGGCGTTTTATTTTCCCTAAATTGTCCAGGTTTAAAAAAAAGTGTGGAAAGGTCTATTTACCCTCAAAGAAAGGCGGACTGCAACACCTGCTAAATGGTAACACAATACGTAAAAGACATTGCAAAGTATTTACTGCATTTACAGACGGCAGTCATCAAAAAACAGCTTTTATGCAGACAATTATTTCCTGGACTGATTTAACCAATTGAGCACAATTTTACATTGTCACTTGAATGTGTAAATAAAAATATAGGCCAAAATATGTCTAATTATACAATTAAGCAAATGCTTCGTGTGCCGTGATTGGTCGTTGTCTTTTATCTGTTATCAATGCTGCATTCTGATTGGTTAAGCTACTGCTAGGTTATATGTTATAGCCCACTAGTAGCGAAAAGCGCCGGCTTTTTGGCGGCAAAAAAGGATTTAAGTCTAGCTTTAACTAGCTAAATTTGTTTGGGAGATTTTGCTTTCTAAACATTCCTTGTCTCACAATAAATATTACTTCAATCTTTATGAGTTCCTCAAGCGAAGAATTCATGCATTAGTAGGAAAACACAAAAGCAGATGTTTCTGTCGGTTTTGGTGTCCATGAAAGGGACGGCGTCTCCATACAAAGCTTTATAAATTTGGGTAAAACGCTTTTCCGAATATCTTGCATATGAAATATTGCACAGACCTGATTCTTGGCATATTCCGCTCAGCTTAGGCTAACCTTGTTACAGTTATGAGAAAAAACGCATCTTATCTATTAAACTCCCCCTCTTGGACCCCTAAAATGAAATAAACGCCCCCGGGCGTCTATTGCATTATTTACAGTACTTGATTTGGTTTATCCTATTAAGCCCCAAGCAAGACCCAAGCAAGCCCCAAGAATGATTAGCATTAAATGTCTCCTGGCCTGAAAGCAAGCTCTCCGGGGCGCTCTTCGGGCGGCGGGACGGGAAAAGGAAGAGGAAAGCTTGTAACTTCGCCTCTGGAATTTGAATTCCACCTCCAATTCCCCTGTCAGATTTCCGCCAGTCAGCGCAAAGCGTAGACGTGGAGGAATGTAAACAAACATTGAAAAGATGTGCCAAGGGCAATGACATCTCTAGCACTAAAATAGGAAATGTACAAAGGGGAGCCAATTAGAATTTGAATTCTGATATTAGGTTTAAAGAGTTGTTGTCAAAACGAGTAATAAAACTCTTTTCAGCTTGGTGTAGACACTGTTGGAATGAGCACGGTTCATGAAGTGGTGGTTGCAAGGCATTCTAGGATTTTTCAAAATCCTAAGAGAGACTAGTGATTATAACGGCAGTACCCAATACCTCTACTGCAGTGAGGACGGTTGGTACTTCTTCAAGAACTTCGCCCGTCTTTTGCCAGACAACTGTACTTTTGGGACGTCTCCGCTATTGTAGGGAAAATCTAAATGAGCTAAATTTGCTAGGCCATTAACTTTTCATTAGCACTCTACGTGATGTTCACTGGGTGATCGTTTATTCTCTATTTTCGTGATTTCCTCGAAAACGCGCCTTGATTACTTACTAAGGCTTCGTCCACTCGTATCTGGAAACGGAGATATTTTTTCTCCGTCTTAGTCTCCCGTCCACACGTAAACCAGGGTTCGTACAGGTCATGAAAAACCGGGGAAGTCATGGAATTTAAGAATTTAATTTTCCAGGCCTGGAAAGTCATGGAAAAATTAAAGTTTTGCTTGGTAGTTAAGTCAACTGTAGATGACAAAGCAAGGACAATGTACTCAGTGTAATATAGAGAGGAGTAATTAAACAGCGCAAACGGCTCACATTTTGGTGGACTTCAAAGTTTGTGTCTGTTGAACTTTTAAAGGTCAAAAAATACCCCAAAACAAGGGAAACTTTGAAAATTTTTTAAAGTGTCAGCTAAATTAAACCTAAGGTCTTGGAAAACTTGAAAAGGTCATGGAAGGAGTCATGGGATATGACGAGCTCAAAAGAGTACGAACCCTGGTAACCGGCACCAAACGGTCCCCAGATTGCAGTTTTTAAAAAAAAAAAAACGCCGGCTTAAAAAAAAACGACGAAAACGAGTAATGTCACACATCATGCAGCGCATGCCCCGTAAGGGACGCTATCGAATTTCCATCGTATTAGCGTTTTCTTGTGGATGGGCGAAAACGATTGGAATACGCGTATTTTTTCGAAAAAAGAAAGAAAAAATCTCCGGTTTCAAAAACATCGGGGTACGTGTGGAGATGGCCTTGATGAAGACTACTATATTTTTTTGTAATTTTATCTTCGTTTTCCAATTTACGCGAAATGTTCAGTACATTCAACTGATTTGGTTAACTTGAGGCTCTGATTTCTTGCAAATGCGAGGAAGGAGGGGAAATTTATTAAGAGGGTTATGAGGCCAAATCATGTCATTTGACTACATTTTGAGGTGTGTAATATTTGTTGTCAAATTTTTCTTGACATGGGTGTAAAAATTCTTAAATGAATGATCAACATATTTAAAAGGTGTTTTGGATATTTCTACCTATTTTGTATCGTTATCCATCGGGAACGTGATATATTTTAAGCATTTAGAGGCACTAAGTCACACATGAATATAGGAGGTTTCGTATGGGCTTGTAATTTCGCAGGGAAACAGTGGTGGCGTCTCAAAATGTCGGCTGTTTTCTCAGGCTTCTTATGATGAGCTAGCACTTATAATAAAAGTATTAATTGTTTTTTTAAGTGGAACCTTTTTAGAATTTTCCTTGTAGCCAATTTGAATGTTGTGGTATAAAATGACGGGTTTTGGTGCATAGTTTTTGAACTGCAATATTTATAGTAAGTAAGAATTATTAATAATTATGAGGTATTAACCCGGATATTTACCATTTTCACAGAGAACACAATGCACCCTTTTCACCCCTCCGAGTCCTGGATAGCCGTTGTTTTCGATTTCTCGCGGGACGACTGTAATATCCAGGAGAAGTAGCCCACGTTCGATATATTAAAATTCTAAAATGACTCTGAGGCTTTCTGGTCATTTTTCTATATTTGGTATGGTTGTCTTTGTGCTCAAGTCTCTTCTGGGGATTGCGCAACAATGGAGTCGTAGAAAAATTACAGTTTCTGTTCCCAAAACCTCGGAGTCATGTTAGAATTTAAATATATCGAAGGTGCGCTATTAGAAACCATGGTCATGCAAAAACAAGGTGCATGCTCTATGTCAAAATGGTGAATGTATAATTAATCGTACCACCTTCCGCACATTTTAGGATATCTTTTCCTTTTGGATGCAAGTTTTATCATATCACTAATACATGGATGTAACTCAGTCATCAATAACTGTTAATTTAATGGCAATTGTGATACCGACGAAAATAAAGGAAAGCGGCAAAAGAAATCGCGATTCTGGTTTACAAGCGTGAATTGTTTCGTTTTAGTCATAATCAGTCAGCCTCTTTCCGCTGAACAAGGTAACAATACAGTTAGTTCGTGACGTATTGTTTATCCGAAGTTCGGATCAGGGATGTAGCCCTCCGCCCTCCCCTTTATCGAAATCCGTGCTCTCTTTCGCCATTCTATTCCAAGTCGATTCCTTCCAACCGCTTTAACAATAGAGAGCTTAAGCAACAACGACGGCGACGGCTCCGAAAACGTCAGTTTAAAAGTGCGTCCGCGCTGCTTCAAACTTAATCGCGCTTGTTCCATCTTGTTCAATTCGTCAAATGTTGGCGAATTTTTCAGGGGTTGAATTTTAAAGGACTGTATGAAAGTTCTAGCCTACGGACACAGACGTATTTCCGGTCGTCGTTTCTCTCCAGAAGTGACGACTGGAATTACGTCTGTGTCCGCAGGTTATCAAAGGTCAGGAAAAGAAAAAAGGGTTTTCTTGTGGTCAAGTTCTCTGCAAACGTGCCGTTCTCGTGGCCGTCGCCGTCGTCGTTGCTAAAGCTCCCTAATGTCGATAGTAGTGAAAACTTCACTTAAAAATGGATTTGTCTTCTTTCAAACTTTTGCGTGTCTATTTATCTTCTCGTTATTTGTCGTTTTTTTGCATTAATCGTCATTAATAAGTATTTTTACCAAATTTAAAGTAAAAAGTAGAAGAATAGTTTCTGTATTATTTTGCATAATTTTCAAAAACAAGCATTGTTAATCGGGCACTGCTAGTAGCGTTAATACTGTATGCTACTTTTACTAGCACAATCCATAATAATTATATGCAATGACGCCCAAGTCTACGATCCCACAGCGTCTTGTTTCGCGCGAAAAATCGCGCAGCGTTTTCAAGTTCCTATTATGGTTGTAAGTGTAAGAGAGTAAGAGAGAGAGAGAGTAAGAAGTTTATTGTACACCGATCCTGCGGGGCTTTTCAGTGATATAATTTGGCAAAGCTATAATTCATTATCAAGTATATATAAAAATAATTACCTAAAAAAACCTAAGTTTCCGCTCAAAATTCTTATGATACAATTAAAGGTTAAAACCTACGAAACGCTCGCGGGATCAAGAAATTTATGTAACAAAATTGCCTCAGTTTCTCTTTAAAATCCCTATGCTCCCTAGAACATATGTAAACCACTCAATTTTAATTAAATAAGCCCTCTGAAAACAGCTTACGAAGTTGCATAAGCTCAGGGCTTATAATCGGCAGTTTATAGTATATGAAGTAGTTTTAACGTTCTTTCAATAATTGTTGCAGTCCTGAACTGTCTCGCTTGCTCTGGCCTCGTCTACTGTCTCTACTCATCTTGGGTGCGCGTTGTCGACCACTAGGAAAGCCCCCTTCTAGGAGCAAATTCATAATACTCGTCTAGCGTCACGGTTAGGAACCCATGATCTCCTGGTCAAGTCCACTTCTGATTTTTACCTTCACTGATCGCGCACAATACACAATATTACCTCTGCGGTCTCTGACGTCATTGTGGTTTGCTGAATTTTCTGTTCCCTGTCTAACAAATTTTGCGCATTCTTTGGGTGCTGTTCACAAACATGGTAAAGAAATAGCGGCGTTTGTGATTGTGTACTGTTGTTATTGGTACTCGGTTAGAGAATGTGATAATCATGGGTCTGATGCCTGAGACAGTGAGCATCTAACGAAGAGTTGATGTCTTAAAGGTAAACTTTGTTGAAGTTACGAATTCTAATAACAGAATGATGCCTTGATATATACATGTTGAGACAATTTCCTAGCCACTTGTGCACAAAAATACAGCTACATAGCGCGGATAATAGGTTACGGATCAAAAGCCTTGAAATTCTTAGTTCAGGCTCACATTATCAACTCAGTAGATACAAGTTCATGCTACGGAAAGATGTTTTGCGTACAGAGGCATGCGAAAATAAGTAGAGCTGTTTCGGCAGTTTTAACAACGAAGCCAAACTTGACAACGACAACAATTGCGATATCTCGAAAAACACATTACATTTCGCGGTTCAATATCGATCTAATTGGAGAAAACGTGGTCAGTGTGTAACGTGACTTTTTACTTCGTTTTTGCGTAAAGGATAAGTTCAATTCATGCTGAATGTATAAGGAAATAACTCATGTTTATGTACCTCATTTCGATAGGGATTGATCATAAAAGCTCCATCAACTGCTATAATGAGTCGGCAGTGACATATTCCTAGCCGTATACATAGTGAATCTCCAAATACGACAAAGGTTTAAGATTATTTGGAGTTCTAGTGTAATTAAATTTTAAAGCCCCATGGTAAACTGATTTAAATAGTAATTCCTGCTCCTCCTTCCTTTTGATTTATCACAGAGTCGAATGACGCATTGTGCCGGTTTCTTTGCCTTTTATCCGCGACTTTGTTTATAAAAGTTATTTTCTTAGCGAAGATGATGAAGAAAGAAACCATCTGTACCAAAACGAGCAACTGCTGAATGGTAGTTTTCGAAATAAGTGAACGTAATGTCTAGATTCATTTGCATGAACAAATTATGCACAACGCATCCAACTGTTGATTTTGCCCCAACGTAACTATCGATAGAGCCCTCACCACAGGGGTAGCTACTTCCATAAATGGGGTATGTAGGTATGCGCCACTGTGAAGGGTATGGTTTTCAAGCAGCATAGTCTGGGATAGGGTATAGCCGAATCAGAAAGTGCATGTGAGTCTCGAATAGGGTATCATTTCCAAGAAAACTGATCGATTGATTGAAGATAAACATGCGTAGCTAGCGATATTTGTAGGAATCCTAGCGAGTGACGTTTTGGCAGCGAAGCTGCCATTTTCGATCCCTGCCTCAATGTGCGCCGGCCTGACGATCCCGCTAGCTACACAGGCTAATTGAGGATTTTAGTTTAGACCGAGGAAACCGGGAATTGACAACTAAGAAAATGAGATTGGCAAATTTAAATTTACCCGCAAGTCATTTTCATAAAAACGATGGCGTCGATAGGTCGGACATAAAGTGAAACAGGGTAGAAGGTCTAGTAAAGACTAACAAAGGCGTTCAGGGAACCAGCGACATATCCCTTCCCAAAACTTTCTAAAGTACACACACGCAAAAAAAAAACAGAAATCCACATCACTTTAATCATCCTAACGCCGTTTCAGACCACTTATCCCTTCCAGATCATTCCATCAAGGACATAGAACTCACTCCGTTAGAACTAATTAATTCAGGAAGGGACAGTATCCGTCAGACACGCGAAGGATTTTTAATATCTAAAGGCAAAACACTTGAACCCTATGGGATGAACAGAAGAGACGAAACTTAATCTATTGACATGTTTTTATATAACCATTTTTATACAAGTTTTGTCAGTTCCATTCCTCCACCAATCACATTTTATTTTTTAGTTTTGTATTATTTTATAACCGTTTACTCTATCCTCAGTTAGTTTTTCTAGCCCCTGATGAAGAGTAGTTTTGTCTACTCGAAATATTGGGCAAATAAATTCGTAACCCTTAGCTGTCCGATCAGCCTTGCCTTCAATTTTTTAAAGTGTTATTTTATACTGCTGATCCTGATCTACGACAAGATCCGGTTTTCCCTCGCTGCTGGTTGTCCAAGTGGTCCTTGAAAGAGTACACAACAAGACCCTCACCGAAAGTCGGTTTATTTGATTTAAAACCGGCTTACTCGGTTTGTCTGTCAGTACTCTTGAAGCATTTCTCGTAGATAATTTTTCTCCCTTTTATAGCATGGCAATGTTAAGGCTATCTGGTTGTGCCGTCCCAACTCGTATGAGGTCGCCGAAAAGCATGCGATCGCGAAATAAATGAAGAAAAATGCAATTTTTATTAAAAAGGAGGTTTGTCTTGCGTTTCATTGTTGATAATTTATTTCTTTAATTAATTGTAGTTCCTTCACCTACTGCGTATACTAACTGGAGATGACAGCACTGCAGCCGTTTAGTGACGAACAATTAAATTTCTTTAAGTTCTCGTCCTTAGTGTTGAATGAATTCCCCAAAGCCTTACGGCAGACCTTTAAAACTATGTGGGACAACACCTATGGACATCGCCCTGGTTTCCAGCTCTGGGATGATTTCACTGCTGTCAGAAATATGTTTGACTCTGAAGAAGCAAAAAGTGGCAAGAAGACTAAAGTTCCTGTTCTCCAGTCTTACAATGAATGGGATTGTACCAACCTGTTCCAGGCTACTATATTTGCGTGGTCTTTTGCCTTGCCAGCCAGTACACGCCCCTTCGCCACACTAAGTGATTTGTACGTGAAACCCTGTGCAGTACCTTATGGTAGTTTCCACGCATGTGTGGTCAGCCCGGGTGGAAACATGACGGAGACCGTTGCACTTGCGATTGATCAGCTTCGTCTTCTTAGAAATTCCCTTTGTCACTCCACCAGCAGTGAGATGGACAAATTGACGTTTGACCAGCGCGTGAATTGCACCAGAGATGCGTTTCAAGCCCTTGGTGTCTCGACAGCACCAATTGACGCACTTGCTATTTTGGCGGAGTCAGACTTTCCCACAAATGAAGTTCGAAAATTGGAAGCAAGAATACTAAACGAGACTCGGGCGTACAACAAAAGTCTCGAGGACTTCAGAGAAGGTCTGGAGAGTTTAAAAAAACAAGTCGAAGTGGATAATGCCAACAAAGACGACATTGCTAGATTGGAAAAAAAGATTGATGAATTGAAAGTAGGAAGAGACGAACAAGATAATCTACCTGGCAATTCAGGTAAGATTTTGAGAAACTGTTAAGCCAATTACGGTATGGACAAATAGTAAGCAAATTACAGGACTGGTTAATTGAGCCAGTTCCATTTACAAATAAGCAAAATTAAAGCCTATTAAGTTTTCCTTTTTCATCACAAGCCTTCAGATTGTAAGGTAATTAAAAAAGGTAGCAGTCTTAGCCGCGGAGAGTAAACTTTTTTCCCAGTTAGGTCTAGTCTCCTGTAGCTCAGTGACGGAGCATCTGTTTACTCTTTTGACTCCTGTTGGGAAGTTCTCAGATTCTTTCTGTTGAGCGGGCTGCCAAACACTGCCTGAAGAACATCTTTCTCAAGGTTTTGTTATGTATGTAAGCTTCCTTTATATAAACAGATGAAGGAATGACCTTGGATCGACGTCATAACCAAACTCTTTTCCTTAATCATCAGGTTGCGTATAAATATAAAATTTAGCGATTTGAATTCACTGCAAAAATATCATTTTTGCATTGAATGACGGGTCAAATTTGACTTATTTATATATTTATTTTTGAAGATTTTAACTGATTTCTTTTTCACTTTTGGTCTTTTCTCATTATAAAAGATACGAGACCATCGCTCTCAAGAGCCTACCTTCCTTCAATGGTTCCCAATTTCACTGGGCGACAGAGCGAAGTTGAAGAGATCATCGGACATGTCACTTCCGAATCCACCCGACTTGTGTCGATCTGGGGTTCACCTGGATTCGGAAAAACGTCGGTTGCAATTGCAGTGGGACACGCTCTTCAGACTCAAGGGCTGCCTGCGTACTGGGTTTCATTGCGAGGACTTCAGTCAAAGGCGGATCTGACTTCAAAGATTCTTAGCCTTCTAAGGCAACCAACCATTAATAATCAACCGTCCGATCAGCGTCTGTCCCATGATGATGAGATTTGCCAACTATTCAATAAAATATCAAAACAGTCTGTATTTATTCTTGATAATGCCGATGATTTGTTAGAAAGTGGTTGGCCAAATGTGAAGAAACAAGTCATCCAACTTCTTGAAGAAATACTCAGACAAAACCCAAGGGTGACATGCATTGTAACCACGAGAGAGTCTTTTGAGTTTATGGACATTCATTTTCAAGGCCATCAAGGCTTGAGAGTCAGAACATTGGATAAAGCCTCTACAAAGTCCTTAATTTGTGAGTTACTTCCAAATGCGAGCTCTGCAGATTGCATAGAGGTCGCGCATATCTGCGGACAAGTTCCTTTGGCCATAAAATTAATGTGTTCTTTGATTTCTGAAGATAATTCTTCACCAAGCCATTTTCTAGATGATTTCAAGGCGTCCTCTACAGAAAGTATCGCGAGCATGTTGGACATATTTGACTCCTCTTTCCAGAGACTAACTGCACAAGAACGAGAAGCACTAATTTCTTTAAGCATTCTCCCTGAAAACTTCACTACTAAGGTCGCCGCGGCCGTTTTAGACACTAAAAGTGGTTTTAAAGCCAAACGAATGCTACAAAACCTTCGGAGGAAGTCACTGATTGATTCAGGCTCTAAACCCGGGACCTTCACGATGCACAAACTGTTGCAGTCATTTTCAAAAGAGAAAGGGGACACTGAGATGAACAAGACAATTCTCAATGCAAAGGGTCGTTTGAATGCATTCTATGTCTCGTACTTTGATAAACTAAATAAACAATTTCTCACCGGGCATTCCATGCATGCATATATTGCATTTTATGAGGATAAGGAGAGCATTGTTCAAAGCCTAGTAGACGGATGTTTTGACTCCAAAACAGCTGACACTGTCTTTGACATATTGGTCAAGGGGGAGTTTTTTCTTGACTCGCTTTTTTGGACCGCGAGTGAAGCGAAAACCTTTCATCACATATACGATGGCGCCATAAAAGCAGCCAATCTGCATGGAAATGAAAAATACCACAGGCAGCTGCTTTCTTCTAAAGCTTTCAGTCAAGTCACCTGGGGACGAGTAGGACAGACGAATCATCTTCTCTCTGAAGTGAAAGATCTGCAAGCAGCATCGTCCCTAGTTTCTAATCAAGAAAAAGGCAAATGCTTCTGCTATTTAGGAATCTGTTACCTTACTGCAGAAAAAACGAAGAGTGGAGTCCACTGCCTACAGCAGGCGCTTTCATCACTGGATACTTGCAACGACCAAGAGTCGTTATTTCTAAAGTTTCTTATTCTTCAGATCCTCGTTTGTTATTATCAGTCCCTAAATGACTTCTACAATGCAAGTTACTACTATGACAAATCACTACATCTGTCCTCTGCAGTAGGAGATTGCAAGCTGCTTATTATTCCGCCAATGAAAAGCAAATCACAAAAAACTACCGATGAAATGCAGTTTGAAAAGGAGTCAAACATTTTGCTGAATCAACCTTTCGAATTCCAATTTGTCTTTCTCTTAAGTGAAGCGACAAAGTCTTTCGCTCACACTAAAACCAAACAAAATACAAACGACCTGGTTCTTCAAATGTTAGAGTGTGTCGAAAAAGATGTTACACCTTCAATTGGTTTGCTATATTTTCACACAGCTGTGGAAAACCTGCTGTGGGATTTGAATAGTGAAGACCCTGAAAAACTATTTTGGTCAAGAGTAAATTATCATGAAAAAACAATCAAGCAATGGAAAGAAACTTTCCTAAATAGTCACGACTTTGGCGGTTATGGTCAAATACAAATTGAAGCGCTTGTGGACTGCCACTTAAACCTGGGTAGAGTTTACAAGAATAGAGGAAACCACTCAGAAGCTCTTCAGTCAATCAAGAGAGCGCTGGACACAGCAACAAGGTCCTTAGGAGAACAACATGAGAGGACTTCCGTCGCCTACAGGGAACTTGGTGTAACACAAAACAACATGCATGACTACAGTGCAGCTCCGCAATCTCACCAGCGTGCATTAACTATCCGTCTTAAAATATTTGGAGAGGACCATGAAAGCACTGCTGACAGCTACATGGCACTTGGTGTAGCACAAAACAACATGCAAGACTACAGTGCAGCTCTGCAATCTCACCAGCGTGCATTAACTATCCGTCTTAAACTATTTGGAGACGACCATAAAAGCACTGCTGACAGCTACTGGCAACTCGGTGTAACACAAAACAACATGCATGACTACAGTGCAGCTCTGCAATCTCACCAGCGTGCATTAACTATCCGTCTTAAAATATTTGGAGAGGACCATGAAAGCACTGCTGACAGCTACAGGGCACTTGGTGTAGCACAAAACAACGTGCATGACTACAGCGCAGCTCTACAAACTCACCAGTGTGAATTAGCTATCCGTCTTAAACTATTTGGAGAGGAACATAAAAGCACTGCTTACAGCTACAGGCAAGTCAAGATCAGTCAAGACGCCCTGCGCGTGAAAGGTGAAAAGAACAAAGCGAAAAATACAGAAACATGAGTAGATCTTTTGCAAAGCTTAGTGATTCTTCGTGTTGTCTAAAAGAATGATGGGAGTTTGCATATATTATTTATAGTAGCAAGGATATTTTTTAGAATTTGCTATTTAATGTAATTACTGCTCACTCAGCATGTGAGTATAGAATTTATAGGACTGATTAGGATGATTTGGCTACGAGCAGTCTCTCTTTTATGTTAATCCATTGAGCGAAACGCGCGAGACACGGAAATGACGGGCGCGCACTCCCCTCCCTAAATCTAAATCACAGTCTAGAAGATGATCGTCAATACAGCGGAATCTGCTTTACGAATATTTAGTTAATAACTAACAGTTTACAACGGTACTGGTTATTGCAACAGTGTGTGTCTCGAATGACTGGAAACGCTATCAGACACCTTACGTTTCGGACACTAGTGATCAGTGCGCCGTGTACATGTCACCACCGACAGCCTAAAAGAGGTAGCCCACGCCTGTAGAAAGGCTAAACAAACTAAGGGTGGGTGGGTGGTGGGTAGCGCGTTCACCAAGTCAAAGCTTCACTTTCCCCAACCCCCGTCATTAAAGGAGCCGTGTCACGAAACTTTTCAAAATTTAAAAAGTGGGAACTGCCATCAAATCGCAAAATGTAACGTAACGTAAGGCGTCTGGGTGCCAGAGGCTTTTCATGCGCGGTTTCCGGTTTCGGTCACGCTCATGTCCTTGGCCTTCGGCCGAAGACGTATCCGCCAGCAGCCGACAGAGCTTTTCTTCGTACGCTAGAAAAAAGCTGTCGTACCCTGGGCACCTAACCGAGTGAATCTGTAAAATAACCGCTAAAAAGGACTTTTAGAAAAGGGTATAATTGAAACAGCAAATACAAAAGGAAGCGGGGATTTACAAACAGATTGGAACGGATTTTAATTGTGGAAAAACTTGCTGACCTAACAGTTTTTCAAAGTTCATTTTTTTTGTTAGCCTGTGAACAGGCTCTCTGTTTGGGGAAAAAAATAGCAAGGAAAGGGAAGGGAAATGGGGCGCTTTTCCCTCTCCCTAGTTTCCCGCTCGACCAAAGGCCTGTTCACAGGCTATTTTTTTGTTTGTAGCGATTGATATGATGTGTTGGGGACATGAAAGATGAGACTTTGCCATTCAAAGATGATTTCTCAAGTTTCATAGCGTAACTGTCATTAACCTAGGACCAGGCTCGGCAGTTGGGGGAAAAGGCAAAAACCAGGGTCAAAAAGAAAAAATATGGACGAAAGAAGCGAGCCGGGCGGTGGCCTGGGAAGGGGGAAAGGTCGGCGCCACCTTTTCCCCTCTATATATCGATATACAAAATGAACTGCCCAGCAGTGACACTGCCCCTTAGAATCGACATTGAGAAATAGTTGGTAGAGTTCAAAGCCCGGGAATCAAAGATTAATGTTATTCCTAGACTCTCACTCAACTAAACGGGGACTGCCATTGGTTGATTCTTGGTCACGTGGCCTTGATTAAAATCAAATGTATCCCGATCGTGATACATTACAGCACGTGTATGGTGGAAGGTGGCGTGACAGATGGCGGGATTGCCAGTTTTCTATTTCGTTAATGAATACAACAACAGCGAGAAACACGAGGCCTCGGGAAACCAGTTAGTTTTGTTTTCCCTGGAGTCTCGAGTTGGTTTTGTTCCGCTAAAGATGTGATAGGATTGTAAACTAGGTCTCATATCTGGATATCTATTCTAGCTTTTCTTCAGCTGTTCAGATCAGGGCGGATATCACCGCTCGCAAATGTGAATCAGATATCGCTGCTTGTGAGAATCTTTGTCCGTCGTGTTTGTTGATAGTGAAACATTAGCCTGTGAGCAAGCTCTCCATTTGGGGGATAGAGAGCTTTTCGTATGACCTTGAATTAAAAACGCGTGAACAAAATAGAAATGACAAACGAACGGAAATATAGCGATTTGATTGGTTTATCGAACGGATATAAACGCGCGTGGCTTTTGGTTGGTTAAGCGAACACTCGGGGTGATAAAACTTCATGTCCAAGAACTTTCTAGAAATCAATCGATACTTCGCTTTGACGTCATACTGCAACACGATTGGCCAATCGAACAGTGCCTTCTCCATATTAGGGTTTTCTTCGACGGACAAACGAAGAAGCAATGTTTTGATCTTTTCATCCATTGGCTGATAAAACAAACAACGAACACTTACCGAAACCATTTTTCAAGATCATACGAAAATCGCTCTATCGTGAAAAGTACATGCGCGAGCGGCACAAAAGAGGAGACTCGCGAGCGAGCTTCGCTGCTAGCTTGCGCCTTCTTGCGCGGGCTCCTTTCGCTCTCCCACTGATGGACAGCTTGTTCGCAGGCTGGCGAAACATTTGAATACCCCTCTGCCTTAAACAAGCTAAGTCACGAATTTTCGAGTTTACTTTAAAACCCTACAAAAGATACATTGCAATCAAAGAAAAACAGAAAGATTACGGCTTAGTTTCATTTAAAGTTACTCTCCTACTTGGAGTGCATGCCTGAAACTTTAATCAGCTTGAATACAATAAAGATAATTTAAAGGCAAATAAATTTACCCAGCTGAAACTCATGTAATCTCCACAGCCGTACAGTTAACAGGCTCTCGTTGATAATACGATGCACAAAGTAAGCGAGCGCGGGTGGAAATCGCCGAGAGACACAGGAGACACAAGAAAAAGGGACACTCGTTGACGAGACACAGGAAGAAGTAAAAATGAAGGTCCCTCATTTCTCTTCTTCCTCCGCGTCTCGCCTGTCCTCGCGCGCAGAGCCCGCACGCGTATTTCGTGAACCCTAATAAGGGGCTAGTCGTAGCACACGGAACCAGTAGACCCACAAAAAAATCTAGAACTTCTCTGTTTACAAACAAAACATGCCTACTTACAGTTCTATGCAGGCGGGACCCGGCGTGAACTCATCTTGTTCCATGAATGAGGAACATCTCGTACTGAAGATGTCCTGTTTGGGTTTGTAGTGCTTGAATTAGAAAAATATTGCCCTGCCTTAGGATCAAAATCAGGCGAAAACGAAAAATATTAGTAATGATGACAAAAAACGATTTTTTTACTATTGCAACATTCCAAAGAAAGACACGTTCGATAGCCTTGAAATAGCCTACGTGAAAGGGGTTGGTTAATTTTTTTGGTTAGGTTTTATGTTCTTCCTGGTACGCGCGCGTGTCCAAGCAATTTATTCCTTTACAAAAGCGGCGCCTGCCACGCAGGGTAACCTTGAATAGTTATGTTATCATTCAAAAGTATGGCCTGGCTGTTGGAAGGGCTGTGGTAGTTGATAGGTTGGTTCGTATTTGAAAGTTTCTTTTCATCATCAATTGGTTTGATCAAGAGGCCATCGCTTTCGGTCGGTTTTGTACTTATGTCTCCCTATAATCTGGAACACTTTAAATGTTCTGATTTTTTTAATTTTACGCGATATTTTGATCTAACATTTTTGTCATTATTAAGTTTATATACACGTACAGATCTATTGCGTTTGTTGTGATATTTAACACATCAGCTACTGAATGATTGGAATTTTTGAAAGCTAGTTATTTGCTACTTTTCTGCAATAGCGGAACCTCGATATAACGAAGCCGGTCAAGGGATTGGCAAAACGTTTTCGCTACTAGGTCTCGTTATGTAGAGGTTTTTTCATATATATTTTATTATTACCGGGGTAAAGAAAAAGAAAAAGTGTGGGCATCTGCATTTGCGTTGAATGTAAATGCTTGCAGAACGAACGGACTCAATCATGTCAAGTTGCAAACCGAAGAAAATCGTGAAGTAAGCTTTATTTGGATCGATTTGTTTCCAAAAAAATAACAGCAATAAGCGATTCTGCTAATAAGAAAATGTCTCACCAAATAATAATCTCTGAAAAGGAAATTAGTTATGATTTTTTCGGTATTTTTTGGCAAGCAAATGGACTTTTTTAAATCTCGCCGAAACATGCCAAAATTGATATTTCAGGTTTGTTCGTTAACTGCCCATAGAAACAAAAGTGCCCTCCCCGCAGAGATTTTTATAGACTTATTAACTAGAACATCTGTGTAAACTGCCTGCTTAGTTTACCTCTAGAACCAATGTACTTTTGGAGAAATTCAGGGAAAAGTAACCTTATTCCAAATGGCAGAAACTCGGGGTAGTTGACTGACCGTTTATGCCTTTCAAATTTGAGATAATTAAACATGTTAAAAGCAAGATACATGAACATGATGAGTGTGAACTAGAATGATGGTATTATGTGTACTCCAAGTCTTTGGTCGTAGCGTTTCTATGGGCTGAAGAAGCAGAACTATACATTTTGCACTTTTTACAAAAGTTTCAGGACTAAATTTTAGGTTTGGTGCCACCAAAAAACATGCAGCGTTACCATGCCAACAATAAAGTAGCAACCTTAACAAAGTGCATTTTTGGACATCACCCGGGCACAATATCTAATAGCATGCAAAATTTGAGTGGGGGTCAAAATTTTCCTTTCGGTATGACAAGACGCTATCAAATTTGTATTTGCCCTAAAATTAGGCCAGAATCACGCCCCAAGATTGCAAAAAGTATATTACTTTCCTCCTCGACTTTCGATAAAGATATAGGGAGGCAAGAGTATCCTTTCCAGTTTGTCGCAGGCTATATCAGTTCAGTGTTCAAACTCTAGTCCCGTATTCTTGATCATGTGGCGGTTATTTAATAATCCCAATCAGGAGCCTATAATCCTGTCCATATTTGGTGTAGTTCTGAATACCCAGAGTGCCAGAAGTAGTTCTTTTGTATGCTGATTTTTCGGTGTCGGCCCCAGGCCGGCAGATCTTCTGCCAAAAGCCGAAGCCACTGGCGGCAAATGATCAAATGAATCCAAAATTGAAAATCACATGTCAATTTTTTATTTTCAGTTTGTATCATATTGATTGAAATTCAAATGGACAAAAACCACATGGAAGGTGAAGGTCCCGCTTCAG